AAAAATGTGAAAATGGAAACAGAAAAATATGTAGGATTTATTTTAGGATGGAAAATTATAGGATTGACATGTCATAGTATTATTTATCTCAATCCCATGAGATTTTTGTTTGTTTGACTCCATCGCAGGAAAGGCAAAAGATTCTTTCTAAAAGATGTGAGAGGATACTAATTTTCTTATGGAATCCCATACAAAAATATCCTTGGAAAAAGAAATCCTATTGGGTTCAATTCGATGAATCAAACAGTCAATATAAGAAAAATAATTATAAGGATTCTCATCCTCTAAAATTTCTATAAAAATCCTTTAAATCAAAGGAGCCCCTTGGTCCTAACCATAGTAGTAAAAAAAATTTAGAGAAAAGACGCAGCCGAGCCCGAGAAGGGCGCTAGCCTAGTCCGACTTTGAATTAACAAAGCCATCAACCGGCCAGGGTACAACTGCAGAGTACAACAACAAACTAGAACAAAGAAAGCAGCAAGATACAGAGGCGCTGGAAAGCAGCTCACAAGCCTCAAGCACTTCACACAGGAAGGATATACAATGGAGCACCTAGCTGAAGAACTTGAGGTCCTCCACCACGACTACACTTGGTTGGGAGCAATGCCGGCTTTGGAGAGGAAATGAAGCTGCACCTACATGACCTGCCTTCACCAAAACCTAAGGGCCTCGGCACGACACGACCATCCAACCCCGTCTTCGAAGGAGGCCACAACCTTCTCGCCTGGATCGCAAGGCGCCGAATCGTCGAAAAACGGGAAGTTCCCATGAACAGGATGAAAGCCGCCGGGCAGACCCAAGGAGCGAGTCAGAGCACCCAAATGTGCCGACGAGGCTCAACCAAAGCAGAGCAAGCTGCAAAACCAACGGGCAGAGCACGGCGGAGGAAAAGCTAAAGCTTGGACGAAGAAGAACACGCCACCCGCTGCTATCAACGCACCCCAACAGTGCCCACCACCCCATCCCTCAAGGCGACGCCTTCAAGAAGGTCACGGCGCCGAGAACGCCGCCGCCGCCGCCCACCGGAGTTAGGGTTTTCACCCGAGGAGCAGGGGGGTGGGTAGTGGAAGGGCAGACCTTGACCGACGTCTTCATGAAGAAATTCGGCGCCCGCAGGCGTCGTCATCGTCTCGGCCGGCCGGAGCCGACCAGGGGTTTCCCCCAGTCTGGATCCCAACCATAAGGGACGCCCACAGGACGGGGCTGGCCAGCCACGCCAGCACAGCCGGGATCCGTCGAGGGCGACGCACACTGAGCAGGGGACGGAGAACAGCAGCCGGGTCGAGCGCCGCCAGCCGCCAAGGCAGCCACGGCTAGATCTGGCGCCGCCAGCCACCAAGGCAACCACGCGAGGTCCCAGTCCACCGGAGTTCCGTCGGCCACCCAACCAGAACGTCGGCACCACGCCAACCCCGAAGCGTGCCGCGGAAGCAGAGGGGCCTCACCGGGGGACCGCCGTCCCAGATCCAAAGCCCTCCGAAGCGGCCGGAGCAGCGAAGGCCCCCCCGCCGCAGTCCCCGGCTGCGCAACGGGCCTTGCCCGGTGCCAGCCTCGTGCAGCGGCGAGGGAGAGGAGAGAGGGAGGGGAGCTACGCCGGCGGGAGGGAGGAGGCCCCCGAGTCGCCCACGCGGGGCGGCACGGGGGAGGGCGGGGATGGAGATAGAAGTGATAACCATAGTAGTAATCATGGACATGAAACACATGTCCAATTTAATTGTATCTTGAGGAGCTTATCCCTGTAACTATTCCTTGTTCTGATACGTGTGTTGGCTTAAGTTTGGTTGTTCGGTAATGAGAGTTATGTCGTGTGCCGGTATGGTCATGGGCGGCACTTTACATCGGCTGCAAACATACAATGAAGCCCTCATTTCTCCCTTGAAACGACGTGTCACACCCTTTGGTCTCAACTTCTCATCACAGCGACATTCTGGCTCACGGCATAGGTGTCACCATCCTGGGCGATGATGCTTCCCAATCGAGCAACATTTGGGTAGCTCGGCGGCGTCGTGCTGCTGCTGCCGGACTATGGGGACTATGGAGCTTGGAGGAACACATCTTCTCACTGGTGCAGGAACGCATTTTCTCCCGGCTTTCTTATTTATAGAACTAGAAGATAACCTGCGCCTTGATGCGGGATGACAGGCTAAAAACATGGATAATTAGGTTAATAACGTGAATAATTGTGAGCATTAATTATAATGTCATGAACAACGATTTTTTTTGAACACCATGAAAAATGATTTGGAAGACGTGCATGATTTGTTGTTCTGAAAGAGGTAAACGTCAAATAATGTACAGGGCCGATTGGATACCAAGGCCGGTGTCGTACGAACTTATTTCCCTACAGGGCCGATGCTGCATTCGTTTTGTTTCTGACCTTCTTTCCAATGGGTCTTGGAACATGGAAGGTAGATTTACTGCAGCAGCATTTTTTTAATGCAGATGTGATTGAGATAATGAAAATACGGGCATCTCCTAGGTTGGACGAGGACGTGATCGCTTGGGGGCTGAGTAAAAATGGGATTTTTTTCCTGTCAAATCAGCTTATCAGGTTGCTTTTCATGAAGTTCATGGTGCAAATTTGGCTTCTAGCAGTACCTCGAGCTCTGGGGGCAGAAGCTGCTGGAAACTTATATGGAAGAGTAATGTGCCGCCGACGATCCGCAATTTTGCTTGGGGAATGGCGACGGATGCCCTCCCAACATGGAAGAACAAGAACAAAATTGGTTTGGAAACGATAAGTCGTTGCTCGGTGTGTGGAATGGAGGTAGAAGATAATTTCCACCCGTTTTTAAGGTGCCAACGTGGTCGGGATTTGTACAGAGAAATGTCTAATGTATGGAAACTGCCAGCAATGGATTCCTTCGTGAACACTGGTAAGGAATGGCTCCTTCATGCGCTCGACCAGTTATGTGATATTGATCGTAGTACGCTGTTGCTCATCTTCTGGAGGAGCTGGTATGTGCGTAATGAAATTGTGCATCACAAGCCAGCGCCGGTTATGGAGTCCTCGATAAGCTTTTTGAGGAGATATCTGGATGAATTAATTGGCATCAAGTTAAATTCGGAGATGGATCCAGCGAAAGGAAAGGGATATTTATCTTATGATCAGCATGTTGGGGCGGCGATCACACCACAACAACCTATTTCTGAAGCTATATGGGTACCGCCTGCTAATGGCTGGGTCAAACTGAATGCTGATGGCTTGTTTGTAGCAAGCGATGATGCTGGTGCTGGTATGATTCTTCGAGACAATGAGGGCAAGATCATCTTCTCGGCTTGTAGATCACTATTTTCTTGCAGAGATCCACTAGAAGCTGAGCTATGTGGGATCATGGAAGGATTATCACTTGCCATGCAAAGGTCTGATTTGCCTGTTGCAATTGAATCTGATTCAAGTATGGCAATATCCTTGTTATCTTCTGGGGAAGTTGATCGCTCAGTTAATGCCTCCTTGGTGAATGAAATTAGACTTTTATTTCGTCTTAGACAAACTTATATTACTCATGTATCGCGTGCCCAAAACAAAGCTAGTGAGAGTTTAGCTAGGTTTGCTTGAGTTGAGGGGCGAACTATGACTTGGCTAGGGTCTGGCCACAGGAAGTCTTGGGTATTTCCCTTGATGATTGTAAGGACATTGTCTCTTGAGTAATACAAGTGTTCCCGCAAAAAAAAAATACTGTACAGTAGTAGAGAGCAATCAAGAGTCAAGCACGCCTAGTAGTTGCTTGTCCTACCGTGCCACGCAAACGGTGATGACCCGTCGCTCTCTGGAGCGTGGTGCATGAACGTCAGGCGGGGAGGATACTTGTCAACAAAACGTAGCAACAGTCCAAGACGGGTGCTGGACTCTGACGACCTGCCGGTGCCGGCGTGTATAAATCCTCTCTCAGCCGCTTCACCGGCACCGGTCGAGCGGTGAAAAATGACTTCAGCTTGCCGTGGCACCACCATGGCGACCAACAAATTCATCACGTTCGTCGTGTTGCTGGTGATACTAGAGAGGGTGTGCTCTGATGATTCTCCGTGCGACTTCCCGGCGATCTTCAACTTCGGCGACTCCTACTCGGACACCGGAGCCTTCCCGGCCCTCTTCCCGGCGGTGCAGCCGCCCTACGGTCGGACCTTCTTCGGCATGCCGGCCGGGAGGCAAAGCGATGGTCGCCTCACCATCGACTTCATGGGTACTCACATCTATCTTCATGGATTGAGTTTACAGTTCTATTTTTTCTGAAAACTGAAGATTTTTATTTTGTTTTATTTCCCTGACACGTGCGTAATGCAGCTCAAAGCCTGGGGCTGCGTTACCTGAATGCGTATCTGGATTCACTCGGGAGCAACTTCACGCAGGGAGCCAATTTCGCGAGCGCCGCTGGAACCATCAGACGGGTGAACGGGAGCCTGTGGACCTCCGGGTACAGCCCCATTTCCCTGGACGTGCAGATCTGGCAATTCCAGCATTTCATCAACAGGAGCCACTTCGTCTACACCAACGTAGGTGGAGTCTACCGGGAGATCCTGCCGAACCCTGAGCACTTGGTATCCAAGTCGCTTTACACCTTGGACATCGGCGCCAACGACCTCGCCATGGGCTATGTAGCCAACATGACGACAGAGCAAGTCGAGGCCTACGTCCCGGATCTGATGGAGAGGCTTGCCTCGG